ACCTATTGAGGTCCTTTCCAGACCTAGAATCCTATGATTCTGTGGTGGAAGACCCCTCCTCCCGCCACCCCAACAGACACTAAAAGATCTCTATGCCCAACACCTCACAGATCCATTGATATAGCTGTTTGTGTCCCCAGACGCAAGGGTTAATTTTCTAGCCCAGTTTATTATCCTCCTTCCTACAATGTTCTCTGTTGTTTAATTATTAGTATGATGTGAGTATGGCATACCTACATCTTAAGATACCCTCAAAATATATTTAGCTCAAATATAAAGTCTGTAGCAATCACTATGTTGCTGTTTTTTATGGATGCCTCTAGATTAGAGCACTTTATAAATAAAATGCATTCTCATTTTTTTCAAACACCACTTTCTTTTTCAGCAGATATAGTTTAGAGACTTGTTCCAGCATTTGAGAAATTTTCTCTCTGTAATTTTGAAGGCTATGGAAAATGAAAATTACATTTAAATCACCTTCTTGACTGATTCCTCCAACATTCAATACTAAACAAAGAAAATGTCTGAGAGAAATACAGGGCTTGACACTGCCAACAGATGACTAGAAAGAAGCCCACATGATGGTGAAAAAACAACAGTATAGCCTCTTCTAACATAATGCTTTCAAAACAGGAAGACCAAATATATATAGCGTGAAATTTCGGGGCCCCCCCTGCCTCCACCATGGGCCTTGTGGGAACAAAATCCATTTGTATCTGGAAAGTGGCAAGAGTATTGTGGACATGTACATGGGAGTGCTGAGTAAAAGCACCCAGAATAAAGTAACACTCTATCCTAATAATAAATAGCGCCCCCCCACATCAAAACACCCACAACCCTCAACCCATCACCAAAAGCCTGGAAAACAAGACGAGCTTTGTAGTGTGCCCCAAAAGTTAGCTAAGCTGGGTTCTGCCAGAGTCATTGGGAGGATAGGATAAGGGGAGCAAATTCAAGGGAAAACACCGTTCCATCAGTCCAGTCCTCTGGTCTTCAGTCAGACAAGATGGAGACATAAAGTAGGGTGGTGTTAACACAAAGGCACTGAGACACCTATTTCTTCACTAGTCTTCCTAATGACCTCATACACATGTTCAACAGAGTGGAGCGAACCCTGCTATATAAACAACTAACCTGAAGCCTCTGGCAAAGCTTTTAATTGAATCTTTAACTAGGTCTGAGAGTACCTGCGTGCAGTTTTACTTCTCTCTTCCTTTAATTGGAGAAGTGTATTTCATTATATTCCCTTGTAACTAATGCGGAAGGGTGTTCTTTTAACCCCTAAACCTAGACTTGGAGTTTCTATTTTGAACTAGTTTTCGCTGTTATCTGAATTAGTTACATCTGGTATAATGGTTCTCCCCCCCCCCCCCCCCAATGTGCCTCTGTAAATTGAAGAATCTTTTTTCTAAGAGTAGCTCCAAATGCCAATGAGAGTTGGTGTTTTAGCTAGGGAAATTGTTTTACTTTTAGTAGTGGAGGATTATGATTTTTTCCCCTTTAAAAATGTTTTGACCTTTGATGGACGGGAATTTTTTTTATCCCTCAATGGGAAGTCCATATTCAGACAGTGTTAGCATTGGAATAATTTTGCATCTAGATGTCTATGATATTGCTTTCTTTTTGGATCTGATCAGAAAAAACAGGTACAGTGTATGTATGCAATGCCTGCTAGACATAGACAAACCAAACAGACCAAACCAAAATACAATAGGGTAATGCACCTTTAGATACGTTTTTAATGGCAGACACATCAGTGTTTCCAAATAAGATGGAAATAGTAAACAGGAGTCTCTCTTGTTTCACAGTCAGCATCACCTTCTCTGTAATCAACTACAATTATGGAGGCGATTCAGTTGTCTGAGAAACAGTACCAAACAATTAGCTTCTACATCTGCCTCTCAAATTACTTTTAAATAACTTTTTGCTGCAACAGAAGGTTTGGAAACTTGTTTTGACTGTCTTGAAAACAAGACAGATAAGGTGCCCTTAAAAAGATCTGAATTAGGGAGGACCCCCCCCCAGCCCCAAAACCCGGAATCTGCCAAAAATATATTAAATAAGTTAAAGAGAAGTAAAGAACTGTGGAAAATAAAAAAGAACTAGGGGTGAAATTTTCAAACCTAGGTGCGTGAAATTTTTAGGCACCTAAAGTGTTTTGGTGCAAAATTTTGGTCCTGATTCTGTCAATATGCTCATGAGTAACTTTGAGTTCCATGGGACTATTCACATCAGCAAAGTTATTCATATGCATAAGTATTTGCAAGATTGCAGCCTTATTTAGTGTCTTAATGGGGACTCTGGGGCAGATCTCCAGCTGATGTAATTTGTCACTGTTCCACCGAAGTCATAAGCTATACATTTTGTTCATCAAAATTACATCTCCTTGACAAGAAAATGATTACGATTTAACAATTAGGTTAAGCTAAATATTGTTATCTGCCCAAAGGATAAATACGATATCTATGAGGATGATTCTGAAGATAATTTATGTAAGATTTTGGTATCTCATTTTGTAATTTCTAACTTTAGGCTGCAGTAACAATAATCATGTCAGAATAAGAAAGGGCAATTGAACTTAGAGGTGCCTTGTATGGTATGTTACTCGTCTTATTTGAATCCCAAAACGATTTAGATTCTTTTTAATCTCAAAAATTCTGGATTTCATCTTTTTTCACATTATGACTGGAAGTGGCTACTTGCAATCAGTGCATCGTTTTAGCAACTGTGATTAAATAGAGGTATGTATTTTGGATTTATAAATAAAAGGTAAAAAAAAAAAGCATTTGATTTGCTTTTACATTAGCATGTACCTGTGAAGATGATCACATCTGTGGTAGTGCATGCTATTAAGGTCAGATATACTATACAGATTTACTATAAGCTTTTTTACTGGTCCCAATTCCACCCTCATGTAAGACAATGGACTTGTGCTGCTCACACTAGGGCTGAATTTGACTCCGTGACTTAAAAGTAAGCACTGGTTTAAGAGAACATTATTTGCAGCATTGAAAATATAAGGAATGGAGGTAATCTTTAGGTTTTGAGTAGTTGAGCTGAACTTCTTGTCAAAAGAATTCGCTCCTGGTATGAAGGACTGGTGCAAGGCAAACCCTGCACAGAGACTGCATGAGGTTGGGGAGGGGGACCAGCTGAATGTCTGGAAGGGGTGCCTGTACTCTCCTTGTGTGTCACACACATGGCTTCTGTGCTGGCCCTGAAGAGTCCGCTTTGGGAGTGAGCCAGGGAGGATCTAGGTGTTGGTCAGGGGAGAGTCCATGGATCCAGTACCTTGCACAACTGGTGTGGAGTGACTATGGCCATTACCCCAGTCCCTAGGCTGGAGCAGAAGCTGTGGGTAGGAGGGAAGGTGTCCTGCACCCTGGCCTGGTTTGGTGAGGATGGAACTCACCTTCCAACTCTTTTCTGCTGTACCCATATGGAGTCAAAATGTTCTGGCTCTGTGTGTGTGTTGCTAGAGTGAATTTCATCCATCATTTCCTAAAACAGGTTAGATGGGCTGTTTTTCTCCCACCCCCTTCTCAATTTGCTTGCCAGTGCTCTTTCAGCTACAACGGTTATGCTCTTTTAAGCTCATTGCTAAAAGCTGTGCAATGCCCAGGCACTGTACACTTTTGCTGAAAGGATGAGGTATGTGGCTTCCAGTAATAACTCTGGATCAGATGCCAGGAAGTACAGCTAGCACCTCTCCCTAAAGAGACCAAGAACATAATCTCTGCAATTCACCTAGCTTCATTTGCCTGATTAACCAATACCATCTCTACCTGAAGTACTGTATGGCTTGATCATGCTCCCTTCGAAGTTAGTGGGAGCTTTCATGTTAGTGGGAACTGGCCCATGTTTTTCAGGTTTGAAAAAAACCTGAACCAACCCCAAATCTGTGACAAGCGTATCATTTTGGGGAGATTTTCGCAAGAGCTTTTATGATGGAATGAAGCCTGAGAAGCATTTAATCAAATCATTTCTTACTTTTTATTCATTTTCTCACATGCCTTCATTCAGTAAATCATTTTTAAAAACAGAATCCAACTCTTCAAAAGTGGAAAATTGTCTTCTAGAAAATAAACCAATCATAGAAAGGTAGGGCTCGAGAGGTCATCTAGTCCAGTCCCCCTATTCTTCAGGAATAGAATATTTTCATACCAGAGGATATTATAAGAAGCAAAGCCCCTGATGTTGCAAGAACTTATGCACACGTGTAGCATTAAGCATGTGAGCAGTCCCCTTACTTCAATCAAACTGCTCATGTGTTTAAAGTTAAGTACATGTGTGTTTGAGGCTACCCTATGTTCTGACCGAGTGCCATTTTTATTTGAAAGAAAACATAAAGTGAACTAAGTTTAATTATTTTTTGTCACAGAAGGGACCACCAGACCTCCTATACATCACAGGGCACCGACATCACCCAGCACTCACACACTAAACCCAACAACTTCACTTAGATCCACAGCCCACAGGAGACTAAACTATTGTGTGCCATAGACAGAGATCAGGAGGGACCAAGGTGTACCACTGCCTGAGGTACCTGTAATGGCTGGCAGAAAAATGATTAACTGAGATATACCCAGATAATCCTGTCAAGTGAACCACATCCACACACTGCAGAGGAAGGAAAAAGCCCCAAAGTCACTGCCAATCTGACTTGGGGGGAAATTCCTTCCTGAACCTACATAGTGATCAGTTTGACCTACAGCATGTGAGCAAGAACCAGCCAGCCAAGCACCTGAGAGGGAGAATGCTCAGTGCCACCTCACAGCACAGGCCCACACCAACCATTGTCCAATAACCTAATGCAAATTTTGCTCTCTGTTATGGTAGGGTGAATGAGAGCAGAATTTAATTTAGTGTGTGCATCAGGAGGAAAACACTGAAACATCCTTGGAGAAATAAATGCAAATGTCTATTAGTAAACAGTTAAAATGACAGCAATAATTGGATAGGGGATTTGCAAATTTAGTTCAACTAGACTATTGACTCACATTAGGAACAAAGCCTGGTGTCACAGCTTTCTCCAGGACAGCATCCCAGTTGATATCAGCTAAGTACGGAGAGCTCTGAATGTCTGCAAGACTTGAAAGGCGGCACTCAGGGTCCTTAGTGAGGAGCTGTGATCGAAACAATGCATTTTCTAAGACACTGTATGCCATAAAGATTTCAAGAAGGGTAAATGCATCTTACTAATGTGGATAATAGGATTTTTAATTAGGAAAAGCTTGGAGAACCATCTCATACTTCTTACAAGTCCCAATATTTTTAAAAAATTAACTCATGTGATGATCTGAATACATTTCCCAGACCTGCAGAAGAGCTCTGTGTAGCTCGAAAGCTTGTCTCTCTCACCAAAAGAAATTGGTCCAGTATAAGATATTACCCCACCCAGCTTGTCTCTCTAATATCCTCAGACCAACATGGCTACAACAACACTGCATATAACATTAAGGTAATGTAATTATCATCTGAGGGCTGTTCAGTGACCTATAGAATATGAAATGAATTAGTAGCACTAGTCCATTTACTAGTGGACAAGAGTCCAAGTGATGAAAAAAAAAAACTTCCCATCATAATTTGGCACTACTTGCCATCTTACATGTATTCTTTCAGTTCATTATAATATGTTTTTGCAGTGAGCTCCCTGACAATCAGGTGGAAAGCAAGTTTCAGTGTTATGGGACTTATATATGGAGATATACCTATCTCATAGAACTGGAAGGGACCCTGAAAGGTTATTGAGTCCAGCCCCCTGCTGCCTTCACTAGTAGGACCAAGTACTGATTTTGCCCCAGATCCCTAAGTGGCCCCCTCAAGGATTAAACTCACAATCCTGGGTTTAGCAGACCAATGCTCAAACCACTGAGCTATCCCTCCCCCCCTCATGGAGAATGTCCAACCTATGGTCACTTATAGCGAGGAGGCTCCAGCCTGAGAACCTTTGCTGCTGCAATTATGGGAGCACGGCACAAGAGAGGCAGTTCTTAGGTTTCTAGGTAACTTTGCTGGCAATCTCAGCAGAGATGCAAAGGATTGAATGGGAATGGAGAATGTGGTGTCCCCAAACTAGGGCTGAGGCAAGAACAGGGCAACACAGGAGGTGCCACTGCTGGATCTGTGGAAAATAGACGTCCTTGGTCTCTAGGACTGTTTCAGGAACATTCAAATTCCTTATAAAAATAATTTAAAAGATAAATTGAACTGTTTTTTCAGACCAGTATGATAACAATAATAAACCAACTTCATAGGAGACAATGCTGCACCTCTGCTGTTCAGGAAAGGCCAAGGGAAGGCACCTTTCCCTCTATCCATGAGATTAAAACAACCTGATACTTGTATGAGCTGTATCTTGCTTCTATGATATTCACTGGATTATTTGGGGGAGGAGGTGAGTGCAAATAGCGCTTGTACTGTCTTACCTTTTTCAGTAATGCTATCATGCCCTTGCACCATGTGGATGAGTAATGAACTCTTTCTATCTTGAACATGTTGAGGATCTCATCAATTGGAGTGGCTGAATGAATTTCGTATGGCCTCTGTGGTAAAGTTAAAATAATATTAATGTAAAATCAATAAGGAAGGTTATAAACAGAGCATACAAAATCTTTGTAATCCTGACCTCAGTATTGCTTACACTGAAAAACAGTGTTTGTCTAAACATACAAGACTTACAATATCTTAAAGGCTAACCCTTCTCATATGGATTGCATGTGCATTTCTTTGGTACTAATGAATTTAAATACACAGTAATTTTATATATTTTTTTTAGTTTTTATTTTGTAATATTTATAGCAGTGGGAAAGCTTTCAAGGTCAGTTCAAATTAGATTTATGAATATTTTCGTCTCTGGAGCCATCTGTGTGATGTGTAGGTTATTTTATTATTAATTATTATTATTATTATTTATTACAGATGAGCCTGGAGGCCACAACAGAGATCAGGGCACCATTGTGCTTGGTGCTGTATTTACACTTAGTAATAGATAGTCCCTGCCCCCAAAAGTTTACAATCTAAACAGAGAAGACAAAGAAAGGAAGAATCATCATCTTCATTTTACAACTGAGCAATGGCGACAGAGAGATTAAATGACTTGCCAAAGATAACGTGAGAAATCGGTGTCAGAGCAAAAATATAAAAGCAGATCCTCTATATCCCAGTCCAGTCCAGGGCCTTAATCTCAAGGCCATCCATATTCCCCATACCCTAGTAGGTAAGTGGTGAATTTAAGCTTGTTTGTTTAGTCAGCTACTGGGCATGTTTGCAGTCATGCTTCCCTCTGCACCTGCCAATCTTACAAAACAATTTGGTTTTGAAGCTTATTACACTGCTCCAACCTCAATCACATTTTAAGGTATTGTGAAAAATGCTGATACTGATGTTCTTTGGTTAATTTGAACAGTCCAAGAGCTTCAAGACATGGTCATTTTGGCCTGATCTTTTGAGGTTCTAGGCACCTGCAGCTCCCATGTTTTTCTATAGGAAGTGTGGCTGCTTAGTCCCTCTGAGAATCAAGTCACTAGTGATTTGCCCCATGCAGAGAATGAGAAAGGGAAAATGGGAGAATTATAGTTTTGCATGTATATAGCATTTCCCCCCAAGGATCTCAAAGCACTTTGGAAACCTCATTTAAGCCTCACAGTGCACACTGAAAGTCAGGGATAGAGTGCAGGAATTTTGACTCCTAGATCCTGTTCTGCTCACCTGTTCTGATCTCTGTTGAGGACACAACATTAGCAGGCTGTGAAAACTACTTTTTTACACTCTATAAGCTGTAAGGATGGTATAATATTTTAACTTGAGCATACCTGGGGTTTACAGGAGTGACACAACTAGACTATATCAGGAATTTAAATCTGCCAAGAATGAATAGGAAGTTTTTATAGAAGTAGATACCTTTTTTCACCTTCTAGATCAAACTAGGCAAGAGCAAAGGAAAGAAACTGTTTCCAAACTGACAGGTTTCAGAGGGATAGTCGTGTTAGTCTGTATCAGCAAAAACAACGAGGAGTCCTTGTGGCACCTTAGAGACTAACAAATTTATTTGGGCATAAGCTTTTGTGGGCTAGAACCCACTTCATCAGATGCATGGAGTGGAAAATACAGTAGGTAGGTATAAATATACAGCACATGAAAAGATGGTAGTTGCCTTACCATGTGGGGGGGGTCAGTGCTAATGAGGCCAATTCAATTAGGATGTATGTGGCCCATTTCCAACAGTTGACAAGAAGAGGTGAATATTAACAGAGGGAAAATTACTTTTTGTAGTGCTAACGACACAATTCAATCATGGCGGATGTGGCCCATTCCCAACAGTTGACAAGAAGGTGTGAGTATCAACAGAGGGAAAATTATTTTTTGTAGTGATCCAGCCATTCCCAGTCTTTATTCAGGCCTAATTTGATGGTGTCAAGTTTGCAAATTAATTCCAGTTCTGCAGTTTCTCGCAGAAGTCTGTTTTTGACTTTTTTTTGTTGAAGAATGGCCACTTTTAAGTCTGTTATTGAGTGTCCAGGGAGACTGAAGTGCTCTTCTACTGGTTTTTGAATGTTACAATTCTTGATGTCTGATTTGTGTCCATTTATTCTTTTGCGCAGGGACTGTCCGGTTTGGTCAATGTACATGGCAGAGGGCCATTGCTGGCACATGATGGCATATATCACATTGGTAGATGTGCAGGTGAACGAGCCCCTGATGGTGTGGCTGATGTGGTTAGGTCCTATGGTGGTGTCCCTTGAATAGATATGCGGACAGAGCTGGCAACACGGTTTGTTGCAGGGCTTGGTTCCTGGGTTAGTGTTTTTGTTGTGTGGTGTGAAGTTGCTGGTGAGTATTTGCTTTGGGTTGGGGGGCTGTCTGTAAGCGAGGACTGGCCTGTCTCCCAAGGTCTGTGAGTGTGAGGGATCGTCCTTCAGGATAGGTTGTAGATCCTTGATGGTGCGCTGGAGAGATTTTAGTTGGGGGCTGTAGGTGTTGGCTAGTGCCGTTCTGTTCTCCAATACCTCAGACAGAGACAAACACCTACAGGATCTCTATCAAGCAGTCTTAAAACTACAATACCCACCTGGGGAAGTGAAGAAACAGACTGAAAGAGCCAGAAGGGTACCCAGAAGTCACCTACTTCAGGACAGGCCCAACAAAGAAAGTAACAGAACGCCACTAGCCACCACCTACTTGGTAAGGCATTCCACTTGGTAAGGCAACTCCCATCTTTTCATGTGCTGTATATTTATACCTGCCTATTGTATTTTCCACTCCATGCATCTGATGAAGTGGGTTATAGCCCATGAAATCTTATGCCCAAATAAATTTGTTAGTCTCTAAGGTGCCACAAGGACTCCTCATTGTTTTTTCCAAATTGAATTACACTCACTTCAGTCACAAAGCCTGATGAACTATTAAAAGCAGAGATTTTAGTCTGGGCAAGAAAGAATACCCAGTTACAGAAAACTTAATTGCATCCCAGTTGGTGGCCAATGGCAGAGCGCTTAAATAAGACTAAGCTTTCAGACATGCAGTTAAAATGATGGTTTCTGAGAGATGGCAGGTGCCAAGTGTAGATGCAATCCTGATGGCGCCTTTGACTGCTCAGAACTCAACCTGGCTATACACAACTGCAGCCTAATAAGGCTTCTGGCCTATACAGTATCCACAGTGAGCTAATCAATCACTTTGGACCAATCACCAAAAGCTAGCTGCTTCAATTTCTGATTTGTTGTACCCAGAATTGCACCATCCCAAAAGCCTGCTGCCGAGCAAAGGCCATAGTTCCCAACCCAAGGAAACCACTGACAGAGCCAAATAGCTACCAGCCAATTTCTCTGATGTGTATTACCTATAAATTGATGTATGCAGTGTTGTAGCTGTGTTGGTCCCAGGATATTAGAGAGACAAGGTGGGTGTCATATGTTTCATCCCCACTCTGAACTTTAGGGTACAGATGTGGGGACCTGAATGAGAACCCCTAAGCTTAATTACCAGCTTAGATCAGTATGCTGCCACCACCAAATCGTTTAAACAACCGTTTATGAGTCATTTGGGAACTCTGTCTTCCCCCCAAAATATCTCCCTCCCAAGTACTATAACCCTTCCCTGGGTACCCTTGAGAGACTTCTCCACCAATTTCCTGGTGAACACTGATCCAAACCCCTTGGATCTTAAAACAAGAAAAAATCAATCAGGTTCTTAAAAAGAAGACTTTTAATTAAAGAAAAGGGGTGAAAGGAATACCTCTGTGAGATTAGCATGCAAGCTACTCTCACAGACAACAGATTCAAAACACAGAGGATATTCCCCTGGGCAAAACCCTTAGTTACACAAAAGAAAACCCAATTTGATTATCCCTCTATGCAAAAAGAACAAGTCACAAAAGGAAATAAACATAAGCTAATATATTCCTTCTCTAATACTCACTACCGTGTTTGATTCCTGGGTCTTTTCACTCCGGCACAAAACTTAATGAATAGCACAAAGAAAAAACTTCCCTCCTTCCTATTGCCCCGCTTCCAATAAAGTGCTGTCTTGGCTGACTGTTATTGCACAGTACAGCGCAACAAGAACAGCTGTGAGGATTATGACCCTCCCCCCTGCACAAGATTAGTTCTATCTAACAAGGGTAGAGGCAAACAAGAACAAAAAGTCAGCACAAACAAAAAGCAATTTATTGTTTTACGTAACTTATCTTGATCTCCATCAGACCATTTTGCAGGTTACCCATATTCTATCACCAGTTCCAGAGTGAGAAATGGTCTAACTATTCGGTCACGCAACAGCAGATTTATGCCTCCCTCGTCCTCTCTTCTTTTTCCCATTGGTGGTTTTGTGGTTCTGCCTACTGTGGGATTCCTGCAGCTTCCTCTGAAGCATCTGGTGCTAGCCATTGTGAGAGACAGGACTAGAAAGAACATGGCTGTGATCCAGTATAGCCATTCCTTTGCTCCTGTGGAAATGAGCCATATGTGCTCTTGCAGCTGAGCTGAGTGCTGTGGGAGCACAGAAGAGAATTGGGCTGGCTGCCTGATCTTGCAGCCCTGTATAAGCCCTGCTTCCTCACAGGGGGCCACTACAGCGGCAGGTGGGGGTTTTGAAGCTTGTGCTTTTAATGGGTAGTAACATAGGTAGGGTTGAGTACATTTCCTCACCCCTACTACTCCTTCTCTTGTGTTTTGTGCTCCACTGCTTAGGCCTTGTCTAGACTAGTAAAAATGGTGTTTACAATTTAGAAAAACAAGCACTTTTTCCATACTCTAGACAAGGCCATGGACTAATCTGTCCCCACAATGACAGCCTGTTTCACAAGCAACAAACCCTGCTCAATAGGGCAGAAATGCCTGGCTGGGTCATCAGATGGATGGTGGTGTTTTTATTTTAACATGGTTTTGAAATTCAGCCTCCATTCCAGCCTTGTTTTGTCTCTAGACAGAGAAAATCATTCTGGGAAGATTGTGCTGAGCTTGGCAAATAGATACCTACATAATCTACACAATTATTAAAGTAATTGGCAACTCTGTGATCAGGGCTGGGACTCGACATCCTCTGTTGTGCACTCCATCACAATGTTCTCTTCCTGAGAACCCCTCTGCCAACAGACTACTGTTAAAGCAGTATGGTGTTATTTCATTGGTTTTTAATCTAAGTAGAGCTGGTAGCAGTGCTTTTTATTAAGGTTGCCTGACACTTCCCATTACGATACCCTGTTTTCAGTTTCACATGACTTTGCCAACATGTAACCATTTGGGCTAAAAATGTACATGCCATCCTTGTCTGCCTTCTCTAATTAGAATTTGAATTCTTTAGGTCAGGGATTGTTTTATACTATGTGTTTATACCATGCCTGGCATGATGGAGAGCTGATCTCTGTTGGGGCCTCTTGGTGTTTGTTTGGTAATACAAATAGTAACTATGACTTTTCTAGAGAACGTCTACTATGTATGGTGACCACCATGCAGCAAAGAGTTCTAAAATCCTCTTCCGCCCCAAACCTCCAAAAAAGGAATGAAATATAAAATGAAACACTTAAGCCACAAGTACTGCACAGAAATTTTATTTAAAGTGCTATCTTCCATGGGGAATGGTAAATAAATATTTAACAGTATCAGGTTTTATTCCTTTGGAACCAAAATGGAATGGAATTTTTCCATTATCTTCTGTGAAACTCAACCATGCTTAGGAAGATTTTTCTTCAAGCTCATTCACATACTTGATTAGATAAGTAATGAGTGGTCTGAAAGAGAAGCCTCTCCTGTGGTTGGTCCAAACATCTTGGCATATTCTATTAACTCTTCCTCAGGTATTGCTCAAGAGAGCAAAAATATAATGAAATCCCATAATACTTAACTTATATATTGAAAATATTTAATTGTTTCCAATTTGATATATTCATGTATCCAGGACTCAATCCTGCCGCCCTTACTTATGTGAGCAGTCCTGTGAGCAAAGCCTGCAGGAGTAGCCCTTCAAAATGTTTCATTTGAACACACCATGTAATTTACGTCCTTTTTTGGTGAACTGCCATGAAATAATTACTAGAGCTGGGTGAAAGCTTTATAACAAAACGTAAAACTGGGAAGTTACCCCCAGTTGGAGAGTGCACTAGAAACCCAAATCTCATGTCATGTTCACCCAAAGTTTGGCATGAAAGTTAAGCAAAATAAGTCAGACACTCTGCAAACATTTCAACTATTGTCAGGCAAAACTTTAAATAAAACCAAAACCAAACACTCTTACCCAACCCCGCAGCAATTCATATGCTGTAATTCCTAGTGACCACCAGTCTACTGGGTATGAATATCCTGGACCTCCATCCATAAAGGCCTGGAACACTTCTGGAGCTAAAATAAATAAATCAAATCTAATGAAGTGCATTGTACTTTAAGGTTAAATGGTAGCTTGTTAATAACATTTGCATTTGAAAAAAAAGGAACAAGTGTGCAGTTAGGTGAAAGTAATCACCCAATCTGCATTCAGAGATACACAGAATTGTTTTCAGGAGTGTACGAAAGTTCCTAGTTTAATTAGAAATAAGGGGTTTTGCATGCCCAACTGCACTGTTTGGTGTTCAAACATAAAAAGAGAGATGGTCAAGAGTGTACAGCATTCAGGCTTTAGTCCTTCCTCCATATATATAGTCCTCCCTCTTCAAACACTTCCTGAAAATAGAGTTCTCTAAGTTCCTAGACATTACCCTATACCAGGGGTAGGCAACCTATGGTACACGTGCCGAAGGCGGCACGCAAGCTGATTTTCAGTGGCACTTACACTGCCCGGTTCCTGGCCACTCGTGCGGGGAGCTCTGCATTTTAATTTAATTTTAAATGAAGCTTCTTAAACTTATTTAATTTACATACAACAATAGTTTAGTTATATATTATAGACTTATAGAAAGAGACCTTCTAAAAACGTTAAAATGTATTACTGGCATGCAAAACCTTAAATTAGAGTGAATAAATGAAGACTTGGCACACCACTTCTGAAATGTATAGGGCAGGGGTCGGCAACCTAAGTATACTATATTATAACAACCCCCATTGGGAAGCTATATATTGTAACACGCCTAGCTCAGAACGCAGATATCCTACTGTACTCAGAGTAAGTAAGGCAAAATATTATCAGTTATTTTGAAAATACCCAATTGTGCATTGAAATCATCATTCGATTTTAAAAAGAATCCAGGGAAAAGATATATTCATTATTTATTAAATGTTTCTAGATACATAGAGGCAAGTGCATTACTGAAGTGGGGGAATCATATATGAAATATATTTGTTACTTAATGCCTGGAAGATTAAAATGAATAAATGAACTTTGTGAGCCAAATTCAACTCTAGTGAAACCAGATTGAATTCCACTTAAATTAATGGAGTAAATGCTTTCTTAACACAGGAATGAATTTGGCCTTTGAATACAGACAACTGGTAGAAACAACCATAACTTTAACCACTGGACTATGATAACCAGACTCATTTCACATAGGTCATTCGACACCCGTCATGTAGAATCAACTTTTGGTCACTACTGACTTGAGATGGATTGGAATTGGTGACCAAAAGTTGAAAGGCTTTATAATTCTTTGCCAACTCCCTGAATCAGTCATTCCCCCAGTATTGAAATGGATATAAACCTCCTGCTTTAGAGTTTAAACCAATCTCTAAGAATTAAAGATTAAGATGAAAACTTCCTAGGGGACATTTGGCCACTGTCAGAGACCGGATATTGGACTTGTTGGACCGTGACTCTGATCCAGTATGGCAATTCATATGTTTCAACACACAGTTAAAAATCTGGAGAGGCTTTATCATCCATATTGCTATCTTCCAGGCAAAACGTTTATCAGGATTTTACTAGGCCATCCATTTTATATTTGAAATTCATATATTGAAATTTATATATGAAATCTGGATTGTTTGGGTTTGTGATTAAAATAAATTAGAGTCAACCAAATTTGTAGGAGTTGAAATGTAACTAAATATCTTGGGAATTACGAAATTCCCCAACTGATTTCAATTTCAGTGTTGAACAAACTCAAATGCAAAGACAGTCACTTTGACTGTATTGCCACAAAGGGTTAATTTAGTGGTTATTTGATGTATTTGATCTAGAAAATAAAACAAGACACAATAAATCTCAAACTCACGTATCATACATGCAAAATTCTATATTAGGATGGAATTAAGTTAATTATTTTTTAAATTAAATATAAATCCAGATACTAATACAAAATCTGACCTGATTTGAGATAAATATACTATTTATGAAGTGATAAATGCCATAGAAATAGCTTGCCCACTAAAAAAGCCTTTGATCTTATCAAAATCAGATATATTATTAGTTAACTTTAGTAAGAGAAAAAAATCCTCTAAATAAAAGATCTGTAGAATCTTTTGAAAACCACAGACAACTAAGGTAAGATATGAAATGAAAAGGTAGTCATGCTTTTCTAATTAGTTCACAGTATAATGTCAGTAAACTCTGTGATAACACCACATTCCTTGGGTATTTTCTAAACAATGGTATCGCCAAGCAGAACCATGATGCTAGATTGCAATTACCAGGTGAGTTCTTCCATGGCTGATACTGAGACTAATGCACTACATTACCGTCTCATCACTTACAATCGCACACTAATGTGAATGTGGCCGTAAAGGATCTATCCTCTAGCCTAGTCACAACTAGTTCAGAGCGGCAGCCAGGGGTTTGATTATCTCATTTAGGGAATCCGCTTTAACTAAATCAAAGGAGTTCCTTATGGAGAAGTATGTGACTTTTGGATCATTTCCTGGGGCATCCTGGAGACCTGGATTAAAACTCCCTTAAGTGATGAATTCAGAAAGTCCATAAACCTATTATTCACATCTTAAGCTGTACTTACATATAGAGCAATTCTTTATGAAATATACAACTGGAATATAACAGCTTGTTTTCCTTACACACGAGTCATAATTGTCCCTCATTCATATTTTAGGACAGTTTAAAAATTATTGAATTGAAAGTCAGTGAAGAAAGCTTGCTTGCTATGTAGGCATATTACTCTGTTGTACGGTGCAGCATGACCCTCATTATTTAATTCATAGCTGCACTGTTGCAATGTGGTGAGGGGCCCCTCTTTCATTTCTGTGGGGTAGCATTGAAAGTGCTTCATTGATGTAATGTTTAGAGTTGTGTGAGAGGGTTGTAACACTGCCAGACTGCTACAGCTGGGTTTTTCTAATTCAGTGCCTGGGTTATTTATTTATTTTATTTTATTTGTTGTGTCTGAGAGCTGCAGTGAACAATGTCACCTCATCCCCAAATTAGACTGATCAGCAGGATGTGCTTCAAGTTTCAGCACTGAGCCAACTGTTTGTTTGGTTTCGAGGTCTATTTAAAGGTGCTCTGTTTTCCCACCTTAAGCTGGTGACAGTGTCTTCAGATCAGAAAATGAACATTTAGGCTCCTGTTTTCTAAAGCAGATAAGCAGCTTTTCTCTGCTTTAATGGTATTTATTTTCCTTCCAGAGCAACTCTCTGTAGTCCAACAGCTTGAGTGACAGTTTTAGGATTTAAGCACTTGCTCTACCAGATGAGAAGAGACTGAATGAATTAAGGTGTTGCATCAATTATGGCAAGTTACGTGCTACCTTATATGGCCCTACTGAAGTCAATGGAAGTTTTGCCATTGACTTCCATGGCACCAGGATTTCACCCTTGGGCTCTGATTCAGCAAAGCACTTAAGCATATGCTTAAAATAATGTGTTTAATGTGCTCTGAATGTGGTTAAAATTAAGCATGTGCCTAAGTGCTTTTCTGAATTGGGATCTTAGGTCCATAGGATACCATCAGATCTTTATTGCAAAGCTCTGTGATTTGGCAATATTGGTGCACTTCAGGGCCCGACAACAGCCTCCTTGCTGAATTTTGGACCCATAAGAGGATGCCATCCTGAAAAGGAGGGGTGGATCCTACATATGATCTGCATTTGCATTACAAGAGCATTGAATTGGGGTGTACGGAATAATGAAAAGCGACTATTCTGTGGAGGCCAAATTCTGAGTACAAACTGTTTGGGATAAAAGCTAGTAAAGAGTCTGCAGGGGAGCGTTAACAATTGCCACTGACTTTACTCATTGTATTTATTGAAATATGTAAAACAATTATCCAGTGCTATTGAGAGTAAAGATCAAATCCAGCCTTGATGCCCAGGACTGTGGAAATCCCCCAGCAACATAACCAGTGTGGTTCTACCATATAAAAGCAGGAGGGAGCTAGCTTCAAGTAGACTATGCATGTGGGTGGACATCCTGGTGTGGTGTGGAGCCCAACTCTGGGCAGGCGACTGGTGCACAGGGTAGGGCATGGGGTGGTCAGGGTTGGAGTGGGAAAGAGGCTCTACTACTGTGTGGATCCTCTGTTGCCCTGTTCCTTCATGATGTGGGGCTGCATGAGTTATGGAGGGCTACTTCAACCCTTCATGGAGTAGATCCTCAGCATATCTGCAGGCCTGAGGTGGAGAGAATGCCTACCTTTCTTCTCCCTGCACATCTACCTAGCCCTCAGAGCAGCTACTTGGACTGGGCTTTGATTTTTGCCCTAATCGATTCATTCAAATGTGTTGAATTGAAAGAGCCCAGGTAAGAGGGAAAATTCCATCTCTGCCTGGTCCCAGTGAAATCTACCCACCAATGCTCTTCAGCAAGATATTAAGTTAAAATCATTGGGCCTGATCTTACTAACATACATCATTGCAGTGAAGTCAATGGGGTTTTGTATGGTAGCAAGCATAACTCTTACTGTGAGGTTAAGTGCTTCTCTAGCTCCTTCTAGATGTCTGGTAGCATGAGCTCTGGGTACTACAACCTCACAGAGGAGAGAGAAAGTGCTGCTGTAGGCACTAGGCTCTACAGACTCCAGCTCTTGGTGAGTTCCCATAAACACACATTTCAAGCAAATAACAGAGGACTATTTTACTATGGCTGGCGAAAATAAAGGGTGCAAATGGCCCTAGGCATAAGGAGTTCAATAGTGATAATAAAGTTCAAAGCAACAGTCCCTAACTCAACCCCTAAGAGCCATCCAGAACAGGGCGAGGAAGCAAAGTGTCTCCCTGGGACCGCGCTATACTGCCCTCCTTGCAGGTGGCTGCCTGTTTCCTCCTGCTGTGGTTACTGCTGACACTGAACCTGCAACAGCATTTACACAGCCCGCTCCCAGGTTGGACCTCCAGCCCCTACTTTTCTCCTGAACTGGTCCCCTCTGACTTCAGGATATGCTTCTTTTTTCCCCCTGTACCTGTGATTATGAGCTTGCTGGATACTGGACCTGGTAATATAGCGCTCTCCTCTGGTTAGATACTTTC